TTTGAAATGTTTGTAATTTTAACCTGATACAAAAACTGGATTGTCAAATTGTAGATTTTAGTCTGTGTTTCATCTTACAGTGTTAGTGCAGACAGGTTAACAATCTGTTAACCTGAAGAGGGAAAGTACTAACATTTCCAAGGTCATAATCTGAATTCCAACGGGGGGAGTTTGATCGGATCATACGGGTCCTACGGTAATGTTGACCGTACCACATCTTCACATACCTGCAATATAAAAAAATTAAAAATTTAAAAATAAAAAAAGCAAACAATTGTATGAGTACTAGTATTAGATTTGACACAAGAACTACTTTGTGTCTATTTATTTGCTACGTACGCCTCTGTCTTCCCGACAGGATCTCCTTTCAGACCCCAAGCACGGACGATGGTCACCCTTAGATTTCCTCTGCGGGTCTCGATGGGACAGCAGTTGTAATCAAGGTTAGGACGACCGCTACATCTTGGATTACTGGTCCCAGAACTGACGCCATGTTCTTTGAGGTAATCATGTGTGGCCAAATACAGTCCAATCATAGTTGACCACGATAGTGCCAGCTCGTACAGTGGTCTCAGAGAATAGTGAATAACATCAGGGTGATCTTTGAGGCTGCGCAGCCATGTTTCATAGCCAGAGGCGTCAATACCAGAGAGTGAATACCGTCGGGTTGATCTTGGAGGCGGCCCAGCCATGTTTCATAGCCAGAGGCGTCAATACCAGAGAGTGAAAATTCGCCGAGCCAACCATTTCCTCCTGTTACCTCTGTGACGTGCTGGTGGAGCCCAGCGCTGTATGATGCAGCAGTGTCCATGTTCTCCAAGATCTTGGAGCAGGTATGTGTTTCTGATGAACCTTGAATTATCTTCAGGCTTAATTTGATTCCCAGAGACAAGCAGTCATGTGCCTTTGCAAAGGTGAGAAGTGGACAGTGGTTGATATTAGCTAAAAGTCAGTAGGTAAAATGTAAATACAACATTTGTGACCTATTTACCTGATAAGTTGACAAGCCATTCAATCTGGACAAACATGTACGGATAGCTGACAGCCTTCTGTATCGTCCTCCAAGCCAAACCTACAGAGATTTAACATCAACTTTTAGTCCTCATCACTAAATACAAAAAAAAAATGCAGATTGCAATAATGATTCTACTGCAACACAAAGGATATAAGTCACATGCTTTAGCTGCTGAAAACCAGAGAGCTGCCACACCCACTCAACAACAACCAGATATGTTTTTTGTTGGTGTGTTTGTTTTCATTTCAACTTGCAAATATGACTAGTTTTTCTGATAGTGTCACCTGACCTGTGGCGTAAGTTAACACTGCAGTCCTGAATATATGGCTTAATAATAGAAATCTTGCTGATATGGTTAGCATAATTATGTAATATCTGTAAGAATCGTTTGGTTAGGTTTTTCCTCCAATAATGAAAACTCGATAACGAAATACCAGGGGTTTTCTAAAAGATGTCTACCGTAAAAATACTTTTGGGGATAAACGGCTGAATATTAAAGTGAAAGCCACTAGATGGCAGCATTGCAGCTCATTCAATTATTATGTAGTTTAATAATCAGTGTACATTGTATGCAGTACAGTAATACCTTGAGATACGACAGACCAACACCTTCGAGCAAATTAGTAAAGATTTGAGATACCAGCAAGCTTACAGATGTTGACGCTAGGTGGCTGAGCACTAGGAGCAGCCCACGCCGCCTCATTCGTTCACTTCACATGTTTGTCGACTTCCATACGCATCTCCCGCAAGTCTTCCGTATTGTGTTCACGTTATCTACGTGATTTTCTCTCTATCTTGTGCATTATGCATTATTCATAATAGTGATGAGTCCTAAGAAAGTGAGTGGTAAGGATGGTAGTGAGAAGAAGAACCGCATGACAATATAAACAAAGCCTGACATTATGATAAATGAAGTGAAAGTGAGTGTAGTCTGGAGAAAAACGTCAGGAAAAGTAAAGAATACAAATCGGAAAATGCACAAAAAAATAAAAAACGAAAGCTAATTTGAGTTGATTCTAAGTTTATGAATGTGCAAGGTACGGTACGGAATCAAGTGTCTATGTACCGGCCAACTCTCTTCCCGCCCTTCCTCTCTCCCTCCCTCCTCCGCACATGCCGCCATTAGCCGCTACTGTATCGTCTGTCTCGAAGGTAAGGACTCATAATTAAAACCACATTTTATTTTATATCACAGGAATCCTTATATACTATAATTCTTATGTGTGTGTATGTCTCTATAGCAAATAAAAACCATAAGCGGAGTTTGCGGGTGGCTGGAATATGTCACGACATTGAGTCTATTATATGACCCATACAAATATACTGTATATATTTTTAAATGTATTATTATTTTAAATATTTCAATAAAACAAAATGGTTGATTAATTAATAATATGAATCTTTTTATATTTTATTTTGTAATGAATACGTTTATAAAAGTTTTAATAAAAGTATTTGAGTGGTCATGTGACATTGTGACGTTGGCGGTTTCCCTCCCATTTTAGTATTCAATGTTCGTTGATTAGTAGGATAGCTTTCAGTAAATAGGTCCTACCAAAAATGGATATTAAACGATTTTTAAAACGGACTTTTTCAACTACAGCAGTTAAACAAGAGTCGCCTGAGCCTTAATGTGACCCGGACCAGGAAACACACGGGACCAGCTCTGGAATAGCAAGCCTAGCTAACTCCACTTTACACATAGCACCGGGGCCGCCATCTTGCTAATAAACCCGCTTGACAGCAGAGCTACTACCAAATGATCAAGACGAAAATCACTCCTGTCCCAAGCAGCCTGCTCTTTCGGAATTTCCTACAAAAATATTTGGAAAGACGAAACGATCATTTACTTTGCGGCGTTTACTTCTGCACTAGGTAAGACACGTTATTTACCATGTGTAGGCCTATACTGTATTTACAACCATACTGTAACAATTATTGTTGAACATCGTCTAATTATGATAACAGAGTTAGGCCTATACTTGGCTGCCACTGTTCTCATGTGTAATGCGCTGTGTAGTTTGTCTTTATGGGAGGCTTGGTGCTGTTGTCTGTATGTGTGTAATAGCCTCTGTCACAGAATAGTTATAAAACACAGAGGTGTGGACAGTAAAGCGATAATTTCATTGTACATAGCAATGCGTTTCGTTACTGTACACATGACAATAACCACTTTAAATCTTTAATCTAGTGCCCAGACGTTAAAATGTTTGCCCTCCGACGCAAAAGTCAAACTCCGCCTATGTTTAAAAACATGCGGTCAGGGGAGGCCGTGCCTCACCTGCCATCATGATAAAAAAGAAAAAAACCCATAAATTAAATATTTACATTTTCCACTGGTATTAGTTAAAGATGCATTTTCAGTATCAGTATTTAAGTAAAAACTGCCGAATTTTAGTATTTCGCGATCAAATACAGGGCTGAAATCCCGGGCCAATATGAACTACTGTTGATCGTACAAGAAAGTGCAAAGACCTCAGCAGGTGAGGCAAACAGTACTCTGCCTCACCTCAAGTGGTCGTATGTGAACTGACAGGTGCTCTCCAGCAGCAGAACAGCGTTTTTCTATGCACTGCCTGATTTGACTGATTTGACTGATTATGGAATCGTGTTTCCAAACAGAAGATGATAAGTGATGGAAGACCAACGCTGAAGCTAAAACGTTTGCTTCAAACAACGGGGCAGAATAGTTGTTCTTTTCTAATGTAGTGGTACAACCGAAAAGACTGTCCTGTAAGAAACCACCTTTGCTGCTTTCCTTGCCTTTTATTCTCATCGTGTGATAACGTCTGGACTAACTCGGGATACTGTGACCTGAAATATTTGAAGAAGAAACCTCAGCAGACATGAAAGATCAGCCACGCACATTCAAAGCCAGATTTCGTTAAAAACTTTTGGAAATTCAATTTTAAGTATAAATAAAAGATGCTCTTTTCGGTTCTTACAAATGTAAATCTGACTCCAGTCAGTGCCTCACCAGCCAAGAACCTCACCACATGTCACTGTTATTAGCGCTAATAAGGGAATTTTTCGAATTCATTTTTTTCCTGGGAAAAAATGATTTGAGATACGAGCACCTCGAGTTACAAGCTCGGTCCTGGAACAGATTATGCTTGTATCTCAAGGTATAACTGTGGTTGTAATTTATTTATTTTTAAAGTCAGGGCAGCATCATTTTCCTTCATAGAGATATAATGATGTGTGTTTGTCACCTTGTTGATGTAATGTGTGCCGTATGTCTCTATAATTCTCCTGTAATCAGCCTTTGTTGAAGCGGAGTATGGTGGCAGTTGGTCCAAATCCCCCCTGAACTCAGAGCTCAGGGTTGGTCTGTTTGACACTCGGTATCTGAGAAAAAAAACAACAACAATCGCAATCACATTCATACTCATAAACATAATTTTAACATTTCTTAATTATTTTATTATTATAATACTTTATGTTTAATCCAAGAACAATTAAGGAATTGAACCTGGGTAAAAAAGGTTTGTAAAAAAAATGGTCATTGGAATAGTAATCAACAAAAAAAATTAATATTTTCAGGATTGATTCCAGATCAAGAACTTGTTACTTTATGGTTTTAGTTAGTGACAGGGATCATTGAGGTCAAAGGGACGGCTCAGTGAAGGGAGTTTTAGCTTCTGCAACAAACATTGGATCATTGGTTCTTAAACTAAAGGATTTATAGGAAAAATAATCTCTACTCGTAAATTCTGCTAATTGCTTGCTGTTTGAAAAAAGTAAATGAAACCACAATAGAAAGGCCGTCAGCTTACGAGTAGTGGTTGCAGTACATGTAGTGAAGGCTGAAAATGTGCTGGTCTTCTCTGCTCCTGGTTGAAGCAAAGCTGTAGGCACTGGAACTTGATCCACCAACATTTAAGCCACCAAGTTTACTTATATTCAGTCCGGACTAAATGGGAAACAGTATGTTAATAGTAAAACATTAACCAGCAAACTATTCATTTAACTCCAACTGATTAATCTGTGTCAGGGTCGTCATGGTTTGAAGCATAGTAGGGTTACACCCTCAAAAGTCCACTACAAAACTACGTAGAGAGACAACCATCACATCCACATTTCTGTGTTTTTGTACTTTTGAGGTAATGTGAGTATTTGGAGAAAACCCAAACTCTTAAGGAATCAGATTAGTCAACGGTTGACTGTTTAAAACAGTAACCACCCACTCCCCATGTGGTACACAAACCATGTGACATTTATTTATAGACACACTTCTAACCATGAAGACTCCATGGCAAAGCATAATTAGCAATAAATGAATCACTTACATATTTTATTAGGGATGTCAGATAATATCATCAGCCGATCTTACCGGACATCCCTATATTTTACTAAACTTGTAATAAAGAGTTAACATACCTTCCAGTCATGGCTGTCTAGACTGGTGTATGTTTCAATTAGTGTGCTGTAAAAAACAAGTCATTAAATAAAATAAACATGTGTCAAACTGTGTACTTCCAATTAAGGTGAAAATCAATGCCAGTGACAAATATTGGATTCATACTAATTACAGGTACATTACATTACAATACATTTAGCAGATGTTTTTATCCAAAGCAATTTACAATTTGTATGATTAACAGCAGTGTAAAAAATATACGAAATTAGAATGCTAATATTGATTTAAGCGCTTATAATTATGTGTTATTTACCTGTTAGAGCTGTGGTAGCTTCCGTGGAGAGATGCAGTGCACTGACGGAAGGATCTCCAGTCATGCACAGAGAGTGGCACCTGGTAACAGGAGGAGAGCAGTCAAAGTAGTAAAGTTGGTTAGTCATTGGATATCAATGACTAATCAATGATATCACAACAAATGGAGTAGTAACACTTTCTAGTAATTGTCTTGTTTAATGAATGCAATTTTTGTCCTTAATCCATAATGTTGATTGAAGGAAGGTGCAGTGTTTTAAGAACAGTGTTTTCAATGAAGTTTAGTGTAATAAAGCAATATCTGTGAATGCAGGAGTGTGGGAATTTGACAACAGCACAAAGGAGGGTGGGGCAGAAACAAAACAAAAATGGGCTAATTGTATTCATCAGACTAAAATTACTTTTTGCAACGCGTTGCCTTGAAGAGGGTTGTGGTAAAGTGTACAGGTGCCATTCGGGTTGAGGTGGGTCCTCATATCAATCACGTAGGCTCCTTGTCGGCGCAGAGTGACTATGTTAAAGCCCTCTCCTGCCAGATTGTAACCTGGTACAAAGGGAGCAGACTGGCACTGGCTCGCGGTCCCAGTAAGGGTGAGGACTGAGGATTGGAGGGACAGAAATAGAAGAAGACTCAGGTAGAGCGAGGCTTGTTTAGAAAGGCCCAGCATGGCTGCGGGCAAGAAGACACTGAAAAGATACAGACAAAAACAAAGACAAAGAAATGAATGTCAGGGTGCATGTGGTTAATAACAGATAATTCTACATGATTATAACATGTACCTTGTTGTCAATGACTCCTGACAAAAAATAACAGCAGACAGGATTTACCAAAGCAGGAGTTTTTCTGCTGGTTATGCGACATATCATAATGCATTTAATGCATGTAGATATTAAGGCTTTTGAAGTTTCTTAAGTCATATAATTGAATTGAGTATAACAAATCAAATTAATATACAGGATTATGATAGGAAATGTTTTTTTAAATAATTACCTTTGCTCTGGCCCCAACAGACACCTTCATTCAGTTCTGCATAAGCTGAGGAATGATGGGCTTGATCCAAGACCAGGTTAAATAATTTCGTTCATCCCATGTCAACCTTGAACCTTGGACCTTGATGAGCACTCAAACATAATTATACCTTTGAAGTTTTTATATGCCAGATAAACCACCTTCTTCACTTTTGGACTGGACAAAAGGATTTTTTTGTTATGAAATGACAGTGGATAGTTTCCAAAAACTACATGTCATTGTGACACCACAAAATGTGGCCAAACACCACTTTTTTTTTAATTCATGACTTTATATTTTATTCTAGGAATTTTGTTTTTTATTTTAAATTTTTTTTTTCAATTCACATCATTTTCAAGAACTCGTAAAATGGTAGCTATTATCAATCTTCACAGCATCAGTAACTCATAAGGTCTCATAAGTCATATTTAATGACTTATGAGACCTTATAGGCCACTACATTTTGAAGGGTTAGGTGAAATATGGTTCGTTTTAGGTTGTTGACTTTTAAGGTATTTATGTTTATTCTGTGCTATTGTAGTTTTGGCCATGACCTCATTGGGGCTTAAATCTGCCCCCTGGTGATGGGTTAAAAGATGTCACATTTCATTTTGTGTCACAATGACAAATAATAATTAACTTTCACTTTTTAAAGGACTAATAAATTGGATGTTCTTGTTCCAAGATGAACTCTGGTAAGAACCGGTGTTTAATCTGAATCGCTTCCTTCTCAAAAGTCAACCTATTGTCTTATCTGATTTATGGGAAATGAGTGATAGTGAGTCTGGGAGTGTATGTAGTCAGCAATATTTATGTACTACCTCAGCAACAGAAGTTATAATATTTTCAATGATTTTTTTTACCAAAAAAATTATTATTTTTTTTTGTCAAAAATATCAACACAGTGGTTTACATTTATAGTAATGTAACCCAATTCTGCCACCCAAAGAATACAGAGCTGCTGTAAAATTCAAAGAAGATGAAAAAGGTGAGGTTAGCAACATTAGCTTAGCATAGCTGAGTTTTAGCTATTAATTGAACCTAATCTATTATAAGTATGTTCTGTTATGACAAAAATGTCTGACACTCCTTCATTCATAATGAATTACTTACTGTATTTTATCAATAAACTTCCTGCACAACCTTTTTTACCATTTATTTGTGAAAGTGGATGAATGATAAGTGAAAGCTTAACAATCAAACAGCCTGAAACTTGGTAGGTCAGAATTATCTTTTAGACAGTATGCCTAGTCTGTACAACTGCCTCTAAACCATACTGTACTTCATAACAGGTGTCACTACCGATTAATGAACCTTTCCTTCTATTCTTCTGTCACAAATCACCCCTGATGCTCATCTCCATCCTTCCCATGTTCTTCACCTCCCTTGTGGACTTTTTATTACCCTGGATGGTTGACCCACGGCAGAACTAATCCACATTTCCTACCTCTAATCTTTACACCTTTATTGTTCCACTTGCCTCACTTTCATTTACACACATGTATTCTGTCATGTTCCTGCTG